GCTGCGCCTTTTTCCCCGCGGTGCGCGCCGAGCCGGGCCCCCCGGGATTCTCGGCGGCGCTGCGGACCGGCCCCCCGGCAGCCACCCCCGCGGCGGCCGGGGAGCCCTGCTGCGGCCCGCCGCCGCCCGCCGCCCCGGCCCCGCCGCCGCCAGGCTCCGCCATGCCCGCGGCGCGGCGGCAGCCGCCCGCCCGCCCGTCCGTCCGGCCAGCCGGCGCGGCGCGGCGCGCCCGGCCTTAGACCCTCCCCTTCACCGCTCCGCCACCGCCGCCGGCCGCTCCCCAGGGGCGGGAGGAGGGACCCGCCGCTCCGCGGGCGGCTCCTGCCCCGCCGGCGGGGGTGGGGGGCCGGCACCCGCCTCCCGCCGCTGCGCACCGCAAGGGCGCGCCCGCCGCCCGCCTCCCTGCGCGGGGGCTGCGCGGGGCGGGCGGCGCCCCCGCGGGAAGGGCGGCGGCGGCACTCGCTATGGAGCCGGCCCGGCCCTCCGGGAGGCTGCGCGGAAAGTTGCCCTAAAAAGAGGCGGCATCGCTGGCGGTGTCAAACGGTCCCGAACCCCGGAGAGCCCGCGGTGCTGCCGCAGCTGCTGTGGCCCCTCGGAGTGCCGCTACTTTGTTTGGCTTAACCATTGCCTTCCCACACCGTGTACTCTGCGGCCACCTTTGAAGCGTTCAGTCTTTTCCCCAAGATGATTTATAATTGAATGTAAAAGTACGGGTCAGTTTGAAATACCGACTAATTCAAAAACTCTGCTCAGTTTCTCGTGTCATGGTTCTGGGGCTTGGTTTTTTTGTTGTGTCCAGAAACAAGTGTTGAGAGCAGGTCCGTTTATACCTTAAAGGGGTTACCCTTTAATTGAAAGTTAAATTAAGGAAATGGCCCTGCTCCAGAGAGCGCACTCCATGCACAGCAGCAAGTGCAGCGGGTGTGAGGCGGTTCTGCCCCGTTGCACGTATGTAAAACCGTGGTTGAGCCGTGAGAAACCACAAATGGCAATTCCGTACTACGGCACCACGGTTTAAAGGGTTGGGATTGAGGCTGGGCGTTTGCGTGGGATTTACGGTTCTTTGATGTGTGAAGCTAAACTATCAAAGAAGCAGTATGAGTTTGGAGGGAAGTCCCAGAGCACAGAGAGCTCTTGCAGGCACAGGGCCTTGGCAGCTTGCATGGGGAAAGCAAAAATATCTCTAGGTTTATGCGAAGCAGAATTTGCGGGGAAGGGTGGGTGACAAAACCCTGCGGTGTCCTTCTTCCCTCCGCAGCTCCTGAGGGTATTTTCAAGAATAGCGTTATACAACGAATTGGCATATTCATGAAATGATAGGAAACTAGAATGGAATAAAATGAGGGATTTAATGAAACAAGGGGATCTGTTGATTTTCCCTATTTACTTATTTATATTTTCATTTTGCTGAGGTTTTAAAATCGACAGGGTGCTGGTGGGGGTCAGACCTGTTCCCCGGATTCCGCCGCGGGCTCGCCGGAGCCGGGGTACCCCGGGGAGTCCGCGGCAGAGGCCGGGGCTGGCTCCGCGCTTCCCAGCAGCTGTGACAGCGACCCGTAAGATGGCTGCTGCCATCCCCGGCGCTTTAAGACGGACTGGTTAAGGTGGAGGAGCCGCTGCCCTTGGCGGTAGCAGCCTCAAGATTAATAAGAAATTAAATGTGATACAAAAATCCAATTTCCCTGGAATTTAGGAGAGAATTATATTCGTCTATTATTTTTAAATGTTTGTTGTAAGTGTCCGAATCCCGTTTTAAAATAGCAAATAGCCGCTGTATGTTAGCAGCCCCTAAGAAGCTCTTTGCTTGCATTTTCTTTATGCCGGTTAGGTTTCTGCTTTTCGGACTTGAAAATGAAACTGTTCTTGCTTCGTTTCGCTTTCAGCTTTCCCACGATTTCTCCTCGGCAGAGCAAGTGTTAAAAGCAAGGAGCCCATCTGGAACAACACGCTGGCTACAATGGACCACTTAATAACCCCGCCTGAACATAGGCTCCTAGTTTTCCTGGGAGCTGATGTACCTTTATATCCCCCTGTATGTTTTTTCCTTTTTTTTTTTCCCAGATCACCAGGTTCTCCTTTAACCAGGTAGATAATGATATTTAACCTAGCATTAAGTGTGCACACTTGCATGCAATGAATTACAGTTTTTATACTGAAAATACTTTTACTGCTTTCACACTCCACTGATGTGCATTGAGGCCACTCGGGGGGCATTTATGTCTGAAGCTGCACAGGTGAATGCTCACAGGATCACAGCCTAGGTGAACAACCTTATTCTTTAGGAACCTTAAAAACCTGTAAACTTATTAATTCCATTAAAGTCAAATCAAAGATGAAAGTTGTCAGGAAGCAAATAATTTTACTGCAGTTCCTTCTTGAACCCTCAAGAGATGTCTGCCTTACAATACCGTGTCTATTTTTTCCCATTATACCATGATGCTCACCAGATAACCAGAAATTTAAGTCTACCAGCTTGTGGCTACAGATACAGTTACTATAGTAACATTTATAAACACTAATTTCACTACACTTGCAGAACTGTTACCTTCTAGAAGCTGCTTAGAAAGAAACCACTACAAGCATTTCTCTTTCTTTTTAACATTAAGCCTGATCATTGCTCACATTCTAACTTTGTGCAAATATGCTGTTAAAAACAAAAATTTAAAAAAGCTTTATTTTATCTTAAATTGCTCTAGTGAAAATAATATTACATTCAAAAATTTAGCAAGACTAAGGAGAGAAAAGACAAACATAAACCAAACCCCCTATGCTTTGACATACGGGTGGATACATGTCATTGTTGCATATATCCAAGCTTTTTTTCTTCTGTTGGCTGAATGCACAAGTACAGTACATACTAATTTTCTAATTATAATGCATGCATAAATCTGAGCACCATGTAACCCCTCTGCTGCTTGGCTTTCATCATTAAACATGAATATATATAATTAGATTCAAACTCACACTATTGTCTGAAAAACCCTCACCACATTTTTCAGTTTCTGTCCTTTGGGGCATGTCAGTGGGTTTCCACAAGCTGAGCTGACTCTGAAACCCGAGTTGAGGAAGCACAGGCAGGAGCAGATGATCCTGCCTGTGCTGCTCAGCTCACAAGCTCAGGTGAGTAGCCAGGTGACTTCAGGAATGCTGCTCATCTGCATCAAATTCGGGAAGCCGGGAGCTAGGTGAGACACAAGTGCCAGCTCATGTGGGTTTGAGGTCTCACTCAGGCTGCTGATAGCCCCGAGGAGATGCCTCTTCAGAGCCCATGCTCCCAGCAGATCAGACATGCATTTAACATTTGTTGCTCCTGCATGAATTCACCGTGAACACCTGACAGGCTTAGAGCCTGTGTGTTACTATTGTTCCAAGGAGGCAAAGGAGGCAGCTGCATTCCTGAGTCACAAAAGAAGAAATCACAATACAGTTTAGGGTGTGCCGGACTCCTGGTTATTACCAAGTTGTCATCTAGGGCTTTTGGGGCCTATCTTGCTCCCATAAATTAAAGAATGACTCAGTTAATAGCAGCCTAATGCTGAAAGCTACTGCTCTGAAAGGGACCACCCAGCCTGCAGCTGAGCTCTGGGAGTCTACCCCTAGCCCTCATCCCTGTCTCACAGCCCAGTCAGATCCAGCATGCCCAACCCAGCCTTGTCTCCCTCCTTTTGTTCAAGTGAGATTTTCTTCCAGCGCTCACACCTGTTTTTATTCTTGCCATTCAATTCCAATAGGAAAATCGTAGCTCTTGCTCTTCTAGGCAACTTCTCTGACTATGAAGTCCTATTGCGTCCTTTCATTAGTGCATTCCTTGTGGGTGAAGTGGCCTCCCTCCTGGCCACCATGCATTCAGGAGTGCTATCAATAATTTATGAATCACTGGAAGTATTAACAATACAAAAGTTTTGCTCATTAGGCTGTCTTGTCTCTAGCGTCTCATCAGCTTCACAAGGTGCTTACATGTGACTCTAACAACACAGACCTTCCTATCAGGTTTTTGCTTTGGTAGGAAACTTCACAGCCCAATTACCTGGTTTCTAAAGGCAAAATGCAGAAAAATAAATGGAGAAAATGTCATTGCAACACTCATGGCTGCTCCAGTCACACAAATTTCTTGTTAGTGATGGACCACTTAGCAGTTTTTATATACTTCTTACCCAGAGGATGCTCTTCTTGACTGCAGTCAGACTTTTGACTTAACCTAAACCAGGTGAGAAAACTAAAGTCTGGAGTCACTCCTGCCTTTGTACAATTTGAGCTGTGTATGAGAAGTCCAGAAGATGTTTGTTGAAGTTATTGTTGTTATTATCAGCAGTAACTGCATAGGCTTACACTGTATTATTTTGTGGTAGTGAGAGCTCTGGATTTCTTCCTGCAAACATGGGATGTACTATGTATATTTCCCTTACCTTCTCTTTGATTCTCCACAATTCTTTTTTTTATTCCTTTCTCTAATGTATTTTTCTGTTCTTTCTATTCCTTAATTCGTTGCAGAGATCCCTGCAAACCTCTTTGACTCCACTTGGTGTATTTTGACTGCTTGTGCCATGTAGGACAGGTCATTTGGTGCTGGAAGCCTGAAATACCCCTAGGAGACTGGCACAGGCGCTGCTGGCAGGGATGGGAGAGAAAGGCCTCCTTTCTCCATCCTGCACACAAGGTGCAAGTGCCAGCCAGCACCCTTGATACAACACTGACATAGATATGATTTCTGTAAGATGAAGTTACAGTGGCCTAAGCACATCTGATTGTGCAAACCCAGTCATGGGCCTTCCACATATCTGTGTGGGGGACCACCTGGAAATCCTAGATTTTCCAGGAACTAGAGGCACAACTGCAGGCACCACTGCTAAACCACTCAGCCAAGCAGCAGAAACTAAACAGGCTAAAAACTTCCATTTGGACCAGCTCTAATAGTGCTGTGTACAGCTGAAAAAAAGCAGAGGAACCCCAGGAGTACAGCACCAACCCCAGATGGGGCTTTGTGGGGTAAGGGAGGCAGGATGTCACCAGGAGTGCAGGAGGCGCAGTTACGTTATCACCACCCGTCTTCTACCTTCTGCCGCAGCTTTCTTTGTGGGCCCCCAAACTCTCACATCCCTCACCTCCTGTGCCAAGGCCGGCAGGCTCGTCGTCCCCACTCGATGTTTCCCAGCCTCTGCCCCACGCAGGCCCTTGGGGGACAGCAAACTGCTACTTCTGCCTCACCGAGACTGACCCAAGGAAGAGCTGCAAAATATCTGGAGTGTAGAAAGAGCTGGTTTGCCATTGTTTCACTACTCCCATTTCCCATTTTGAAGCTTTCTCCCAGCTGAGGAGCTGCACCTCTGCACAAGTGGACAGTATCACAAATTATAACTCTCTCCCAAGAAGACCTAATGATAGGGACTCTTATTTTATAGGGTGGCACAAAACCAGAGGGCCTGGAATCCTGAGATTCCAGTTTTGGACAACACTTTAAAAGATAAATAAGGAGACTAATTATCTTAATTTATTCCATAATTATTTTAATTATCAATCACTTCCTTCTTTCTTACCTATTATCAGGTTTACAGGTGGGAGTACAGGATTCCGAGTCCTGAATGTAGGCTCTGCCCCTGGCATCCTCCTGTGACTCACCAGGTTTGTCTTTATTTCTTCCCACACCTTTCATAACTAGACTTTCTTGAAGCTGCATCACTGCTTCTGGGGATGCAGTAAGTAGGCTGTATATGTACACCTAAGTTGACTCACCTGGGAGAAGATGTCTTGCTCCTTCTGTATCATTCCCTCTGTATGGTTTTAGAGAATGAGAGGGCCAGCTCGGATTAAAAAAAAATATGGAAGGTATAGGACATGGCTCCTGGGTTAATAAACGAGTTTGTTTTTTCAGGTAAAGACTATTTCAGAGGTCTTATATGAGTTTAAGGAAGGCTTGGTAAGGGTTTTCACATAAGATATATGCTCTTTGCTGCTTTGGCCAAAGATGACCACGTGAACCTGGGACCCACTAAGGCAGCACCCACCCAGCAGAGGCTGGCTCTGACTGTGCTGTGGGAAATGAGCTGCACAGCACAGTCACACTGCACCAGGCAAATGCTAATGCCTCACTGGCCATCCAGGGCGGCTCCTTGACAGATGCTGGCGGCATCAGGCACCCTGCAGCTCAGGCACAGACAGTCCTGGCCGTGCTGAGAGTCTCTGTCATGGTTGCTGTATGTGGGCGTGGTGCATTCACAGTTTTCCAGAGGAGGTGCTGCTGTTGGAACTGTGCTGAACGTGTGGAGGCAATGAAGCCACGTCCTGGTGTCACAGGTACATGGGAAAGAGAGGACTGAGAGGGAAGTACTGACTGAGGCATGAGCAATAAGTAAATCAGGGAAGCAGAAAAAGACAGGTAAGGAAGCTGGTACTCATTCAGCAAGAATTTGTAGTAAGGTCTGTTTATATGTACTAGTTGATAATATAACTATTATAATATATTATGTTAATAATATAAGTATTATAATAGATATATATTATGATAATATAACTATTATAAACAGGTTGATAACCTGTTTATAATAACTAGTTGATAATATTTTGATGAGAAATTCAGGGAGACCATGACCTCCATTTTACATCATACAATCCTCTGCCTCTTCCCATCACCCACAGGCAGGCAGGCAGGCATCTTTCCAGAGCTGGTTTCAGCATCAATAACAGTCACCATTTTCTAAGACCACAAGTATGTAGCAAATAATAAAATCCCCAAATCTAACAGAGGAAGAAGTTCAGGCCTGGAGATTGTGCAAGCTAAGTTCTGACTGTGTCAAAGGGAAATGAGAAAGAAGCACTCTCTGGGTGGAGATAGGAAGGACAAGTGTCAAAGGGAGATAACTGCACATGGCACTTGTCTGTTTGGATAAAAATCAGATCCTCCATCCTCAAAGCTCAGGAACATCTTCCATCTTTGGTAATTAAAAAATTACGATTGTAGTGCCAAACTGCAGAAACAGAAAATAATCTTGCCTTACCGTATTAACAGCAAGCAGCTCCAAGTGCCATAGAAAGAAAGGGTTTCCAGAAAGAAGAGATTTACTGAGACAATGGTATCGTCTGCCATATGAGCCTCATGCTCTCTCTGCCTCATTCTGGTCCTTTTAGACAGGCCAGTGTATGGCAGACTAAGCACTGACCAGGAGGTTCTTTGTTATGACATACACAGTAAATACAGATTTTTTGCCCTTGAAAACATGTATAATCTCAAACAGTGATTCACTCCCCATTATTCTACATCTAATTTCTTCTTATCTGCTTCTATTTTCATCTCAGAACATTAAACTGTTTTGGGTTTTGGCTCCCTAAATAGGCACAGGGAAACTGCAGTGAGCTAGAAAACTGAATTTTATCTTTCACTGTGAGGCTGGCAGTGCTTTAGCTTGGTGTGTTGTGCTGTCAGTATCTCACTGTTATCTTTTAACCTGACAGCAAAAAACCTCCCAGTATATATTTGTTCCTGATGAGAGAAATGCAAGGAGAGGACATACAGACTAATCTTTTTACTTCATAAGAAACCAGCAAAGCAAATGTTTCTTTTGGGTTTTTTTTAGATTTTTTATTTTTACAAGTTTTTTTGCTATTAACATAAGCAATTTATGCATAGCATAAAAAATTAACATCAGGGCTGCCCTTTTAATAATTATAAGCAAAGTTATTGCAACTGAAGAGTTACAGCCTATCTTGCTACATTAATTATTATGTGTATTATCCTGGTTATTTACATATTGTAATTAACTGGGACTGTTTTGGTGCTTTGAAAATGTGATTTGTTAGCACTTACAGCCCCTTATGGAGATACAAACCCATGTAAAATGTATGTGAGTGTTAAGAATTCAGTGTCCTGAGATCAAACTAAAATTTTGCTGAAAGTTTCCAATTTCCTGTCTCTAATCCAAGGGGCTTTTATATACACTAAATATAAAATGGGTTAATTTTAAAAGACTTACAAAAAATAGCTTACCAGGCGTTTTGTATACATTAGTCCTAATTTTTCTCAGGCCTGAATGCATCATTGTAATGAAAGCACTGAAAAGTTTTGTGCCATCTCTCAGTCTCAAATTCAAATCATGCAGAAAAAAGGAAAAGGGATCTGCACAAGTGGTTTTAGCCATGTACCTCCTCACCTTTCCCTGCTAAAGTGGTGCAGCATTTTCAGAAGAGTCTGATGTTCACCTCTTGTATAGAGACAGACTTTCCTATAAACTGGTCCTACAGTAGATTGAGAGTTGTAGCCAGCTGCAAGCCATCTCTGAAAGGATAAGCTATACTAAACTGTCATAAGGGGTTTTTAAGTGGCTCTGCTTAATATCACCCTTGACAGAAGATATGTTGTAATTGATCTTCCTCAGCTGATCAGAGGCACTTGATTCATTAAGATGTATTAGGATTAATTTGAGCTGGAGGAGGTTAGGGCTTTGACTTTAATGATATTTTATCTAACTGCCATGACAGAAAAGAGGCATACATTGAAACACAAACTGCAGAAATCCTTATAATACACAGGTGATGGAGAGAAGTAGTGTGACCAAAAAAAATTTACTTTCTAGTTGAAATCCTGGAAGAGAAAACAGGTGCAAAATAGTTTATTCAGGTGTGGCTGTATGGAATGCAAAGAGAGAGCCCCAGTAAAGGAATGAGGTTAAAGTAGGATGAAATTCCCAAAGGCTGGTTTTGTAATGTGGCTGTGAGGTATTACTGCTGCTAAACTTTGCCCTGGTGATGAATTATCAGTGCTTAACAAAGACTAACTGAAACAGAAATGTCATAACAGAGAATACAACAGCATATGCATTTTTGTCTGATTTTTCTCATCCATAAATGCTAGATACTAAAAAAAAACCATAATCAACTTGAATATAAACACTGTGTTTTCATACTTAGTAGATATATGAAGTATAGGCTGGCAAGCTTAGCTGCTCACATGGTGTCAGGATTTTGTGTTATGGTGTCTGTGCATGTGTGTCACGTGCCACTTTAGGGGGAGAGGATGTTATGCAAGCAGCAGTTCATACTGAATTTTTCCAAGCCTGAAGCAGAATCACTTGAGAAAAAATTCTAGGTAAAATGGCTCAGCTGTTTCTGAGAATAGGATTTGGAAAATATGTTTTGAACATGTTAAGCCAAAATTCTTTTTTTTTCTAGAAAAGCTCCAAGACGGTCAGGTTTTAAACTACCACTTGGCAATTTGGCTGAAATGGCATCAGCAGTGCTTATTTTGTCATTCTTGTCAATTTGCCCAAATCAGAGCAAGTAACAGTATTTAGAAAGCAGCATCAGTTTGCCCATGGCAGGTAGAGACATGCCAGGTGCAGGTAGTGAATTCAGACAGGTCCCTCTGCGCCACCGGGGCTCTGTCAGGAAGTGCCTTGCTTGGAGGCTCTACAGCTCTGACTCTTGGCTTTGCAGCACCAGGTGCCAGGCCAGGGAACAGCACTGGGGATGCACAGTGAGGTGAGAGAGACTGAGCTCATGGGGGAGACTGGAACAAGGAGCTGGAGTGGAAAAATTGGAGGTACCTGGGGACAGGGGGAAAATAAAAGCTCTGCCTGGAGGACAGGCAGACGTGCTGATTAGAGTCAGGTCCTTGCAGTACCTAAATTCTACATTGCTAAATTCTCTGAGACACATAGGCAGAAGATTAATTCCTCACTTGAATTCCTTGTGGATAATCCCACTCCCATGCCATTTTGTGATCTTGCCAATATCAACAATCCTGGTACTTTTAAGAAAGTAAATAATTCTTTAATAAAAACATTACTGATTTGCTAAGATAAAAATTCCACATGGAAGAGAGACATGGAAGACAGGTTTATTGTGCTGGACAACCATGAAAGTAGGTCAGATACATGCTTTCTGGAGATTCTTGATGGCTGTCACAGTGTCACAGCTACTGAAACAAAAGCTTCCACTTTTATTGTTTAAACAGCTTTCTCACACAGATTCCTTCCACAAAAGTAAAAATGACAAAGAGCAAATTCTATATTTTTTTGCCAGACTAATCAAGGCTGATTACTGGGAAAAAGAGAAGAACCAGGCAATGAGGAGACCAACAAGACCAGTCTATTATGAAAGTGTATGCTCAGTCCTTTTGGAGAATGCAGATTTTTACAGCTGATAAGGAATGTAAGGAATGAGGTTTCCAAAGTTCACTGGAATGGAAGGTGTTGCTGGGCTAATGCACGTTGCTATTATAGGTAAGTATATTCCACACCAGGATTTTTTTCTCTTAATCCAATTAAGTTAAAAAAAAAAAAAACCAATCACAAAAGTAAGCATAAATTAATCTATAGATTTGTTGGCAGTTGGTATCTAGAGATAAAAAGCAGCAATTCCTTTAGCTTGACAATGTGAAGGAGACATGATAAATTCCCTCACAACTGAAACTGCTATTGGACAATTCAAACCATGACAAGTATTCAGCTTATTAGATAAGCAGCCTGAGCACAATATTTGAATTAAAGCATTTACTTCAATTTACTAATATAATAGAGTTATGAAGCATTCCATAATACACAAGTGACCTCTGTAAGAATAGTATGATTGCTTTTTTTAAATCAAGAGGTGTAAAGTGTCATCACTTCATGACAGGTTTCTGATTTTTTATCTGATGAAGTCCTTGTGTCAATGAACCATGCTTAAGATATTCTTTAAATTAATTTGTTTCATTGGACTAAGTGCCACCACATTTTGCTACCAGCAAAGTGAAAACATGATTTGAATAATCTGAATTATTACTTTCTGGAATAGGAATCTATTGTATTTTACTCTTATGAAAGAACTATTCAGACCTGTTTCCTTATGAAGTAGAACCTTGCTTTTCTTTAGTACAGAATCAGTTATTTATTACAATGAGAAACAATGATACATTCCTAATGCTTCTTCACCCACCCCTGTTACAAGGGACACTAGAAAAAGCTCTTGCAGACTAGCAACTCTAGTCATTATATCTTCCCACCTGGTGATTTTTGTTACAGTTAAGCCCTCTCTGTACATCAACCAGCTGTACATCAACATTACAAGCAAGATACTTGCTTTCCCACAAAGGGGTGCACAAGCAGAGTTACATAAAAAAAGCTGGTGTGTGAAGAGTTGTGCCTGCAGTTACATTCTCTTCCAGCCTCTGCTTGAAGTACATGCCCAGCACTACACCACTTCTCTGTCACTCTCCCTGGCGCTAGTAAGGAGTGGACTGACACTGCAGCTGACACCAGAAGCACTCTTTCTTCCTGTGATGTGTGCATTCACACATCTTGTAAAAGACTTCTTCATATTTCTTCATATGAAATTTGACCAAAATTAATGAAGAGTCAAAGATATTAGAAAAAGGGAGGACCATTTGTGAGACTTCCTTGTGGTCGAGACAAAAAAAAAAAAGTTCTATATTTGAAAAAAGCAATTCCAGATATTAAAAAAATACAACAACTTGCACTCATCTGCCAGCCTGAGAAACACTGTAAACCAACTTTATCATGCACTGACACTGATCTAGGTAACTGTGGTGTATCCCACCACCTCCATTCTTCAATGCTGCTGTTACAGCTGTTCTTTACCTCAAATAAGCTTTCTGCAGCTATGTGACCTTTACTGGTATGGGTATCAAAACAGGTAGTTCAGCAGTAGCCCATCTATTCTTTCAGGAAATGCAGTCACACCTTTCCTGGAATACAGCATTAACTCACAAAAAGGCTGCAATGTTTTCAGAGGCATTAGTGCGATAGAAACACACTTTATTCCAAAGAGACTGATGAAGGCAAGAACTGAGGCTGGGTGAATTCTTTACCAAATTGCTTCTGGGTCTTGTTACCTGCCTCCAGCCATTCCTTACAGAGAGGGTTTCATGCTGGCTGCAATTAAGGATACCATAAATTCAAGCTCTGCTAACAAGTTAAGGTTTGAAGTTCATCAGAGGTACTTTAAATTTTTTATGATTAAAATGCACATTTCTGAACCACTGCTAAAATACACATTTATTTAATCTAATACAATTAATTTTCCACCAAATGTACCACATCAAAGAAAAAAATTCACACAACGTGAGCCTTGATTTTTCCCCAAGGAGTGTGTTCTTACAGAAGTATAGACACGTTTCTTCAGCTCCAGATAAGCAACAAAAGAGGATGGTCAGATACAAGGAGCAGGAGGTGGTGACATGGGCCATCTTCTTAATTTAGTCCTATATTGATAGGTCAGCTAAGTTTTGTTGATTCTTTTGCCCTGTATCTGGTCTGCAGACAAGAAAGACTTGCATCCAAAGGGGACAAGATTTTACTCTTTCTTGCAGATTTTTCCACGTGGGTTATTATTATGGCCTTGGTTAAGCATACAGCTGGTTGTCCTGCACCAAGGGTTCAAAGGGTATTTTACACATTCTTCTAGCTCTCCATGGAAATCAGAGGAAGGAGTGTGAAACAAGCACAAAGAAACATACAGAGCACAACTTAAGGCATCTAAAAGTTATAATTAAAAAGGTATGTTCTTCAGTTTGGTATTTTGAATCCCTTTGTGGTTTAAGACAGAAGAAATCTGCCTTCACAGACTACACTTAGCTGTCTCCTACACTCGATGATGCCAATACTGCCCAAGAAACACAGCTACTGTGTAAGCAATGCCAACTCATACACCCCTTTTCAGAGGTCAATCCCCCATATTAGCCAGATTACATTAAAAATACAATATAAATGAACACACTGCAGCCAGCTTCATTGTCTAGAAAACCACCACATCCCAAACAAGTTCCTTCTGCCTGGAATCGCTTTTGCCTTTACGCCAACACATCGGAAGGGACAGAACATCTCCCCTAACACAATAAATGGTTTCCCAGGGCAGCCACAGAGGATCTCTAATATAGCACTTTGGTCCAGAGCTCTTTCCTTTATGCTCTGTGTTCAAATCTGACATGACCAGCCCCCTGCACTGTTGCAATTTCTAACACTTTTAATTCTCATATTTCTGAAATGTTGAGGGATAGGGAAAATACCTTTTCCTACTAAAGCCAAGAAATTAGTCCTCAACTTCTGACAATGACTAAGAATTCTTGCTCCCTTGGGTGCCTTAACCAAGTAAGAGATTTAAAGTATCCTCTAAGTAAACAGTAAATCCTAATAATGTCCAAATTATTTTCAAGTACTAGAATTTACAGGCTGCCAGAAACAGTCTGAGCTGAAACATCTTGCTGAGTTAATTCAGACACTTGAAAGCACATGTTCTCATAGGAGAAAAAGAATTTGAGAAAAATAGAGAAGTTGCACCTTGACTGGCTTTTAAACAAGAGTGCATATTCTTCATATTAGACTGCACTTTTAAGCTGAATTAAATGTCACCTAAGACTCCTCATAAGACTTTATTTGCAGTCAAGAGATTAAGATTCCAGAACAGTCTTTTAAGAATGGAAGGGGGAAAAAAAAGAGAAAACTTTGCTGTAAAACCAGAAATAGATTCGATGACGTATATATTGTTGCCTGTGAACTAGATTATTAACTATGATCTCAGGTTTTTTCCCAGTCCTTAACACAAAGCTGATACTGTAACAGCAGTATGTTTTAAAAACCCAGTATACTATAAATACTATTTCAACTTCAGATGATGCATATGAAGTCTTACATAAAAATGGAGTAATGTCTCGCAAGAGCACAGCTCTTCTAATGTGAGAGAAAACACCAGAATGGTGGAAATATCAGCACTAAGAAACCAGATTTGTAGAGGGATACTAGAGAACTACAAGGGCTCTTGGAAATCACAGAGCACCAGTAAAAAGAACATATGTTACCCCTGTACCTCATACTGCATCTGTCCCTAACAATTTTACTTGCCAGTTTCTTATTTTGGCTTCTAATGGGCTTTGAGGGGTTTTGGATTACCTGAAGTACTTGCACCAACTCTTAACATTCACTCATTATTTGAGAATGCATGAATGCTGTTCAACAAAACAGGACTTCGTGTGTCAGCATCTAGTATCTCTCACAGGAGACAACTTAACTGACTCAAACACTATTATTCATTTGCAAGATAGAATACAGCTATTTTATTCCAATAAAGGTATTTTTCAGAGTGACTCAAAAGGCAACCTGAAACAAAATCAGTGAAAATGTTCTAGGAAGAATTATAGGCATAGTAAAAATGGAATTCCTAATAAGGAAACAACAAAAAAAAATCAAACTAATCCAGAACTGTCTCTTTTCAGTAACAATGAAGTAAATTCAAAGAACATAGATACACTACTCCAATTCTAGCACACAAAGGTGACTCTGAAGAACTCAGTTTGAAGACAGAAAATTTTATCTAAGTTTTCATCCACAGTGAGACTTCAGAGCAAGAAACCGACACCTTCTGTGCAACAGGTCCAAGTCACAGCTATAAGTAACTGCAAGAGAATGTGCTGGCATCAAGGTCTAAAGCCATGAAAATGCCTCCAAAACAGACAAAACCATGCCATCTAATCTGACTCAAATACACATTTGGCAGAAAAACGGACTCCAATTAATTTCATGACAAACTCCAGGTGATGTTGGTCAAGAACTGCTAGAGACTGTATCACCACTGGGTTCTAAACCACCACCAGAACTTGAAAAAGACACAAAAATCAATTACAAATCACAAGCTGCAGAAGAAACACAGTCAGCTCAGAGACACTGCAATGCAACAAGTCACCTTGTGAACAACTGGCAAAGACTGCATTAGCTGCAGGTTCAAGAGACAATATTACAATTTTGATCATACTTCTAAATGGATGTGATAAGATACCAAATTACCTCAACATTTAAAGATTTATCATAGAATAACTGGAGTGCCACAATATAACAGGACAAGCTTATATTTAGCTGTGCCATAAATTTATTGTAAGCATCTTAAATGCTGACCCATACAGTGAATCAGACATCTTGTCTGGAACTGTACAAATGTGATAAAACCTCCTGAAACTCTCAATAAGAACCAGTAATCAAAATTTTTTTAAACCACTTTATTCAAACCTGAGCACCTCAATATAAAACTAAACACTGGTGAACTGTCATTTTTCTTGCTAAACCCAGATTACTGCAAATTTAAAATCTGCACAAGTAAGTTTCTATCAGTTCAACATTTAAATAGACTAATTCATCTCTTCTGACACACTTTGTAGATTTCATATAATGAAAATAACTAAAAGAATTAGTGCAATATACTGGACTGATCAAAATAAAATGTACTTTGGAAAACAAAGTTGCGATGTTCATTACTGACAGACAGCAGTACTTATGTTACAGATACAGGAGCATCATTTATTACTGTTCTAGCCATAAAGGAAGAACTCAGAACCCCCTTTGATTAGAGAGGAAAAAAGTTAGCTTTAAGTAACTGTACATTCTGTATACCTTTAAGCAACTCTTAAATATTACAGAAAGTATTAAACAAATGTAGACTACAATGCAGAGTACCTATTTACAGTACATTAATATCCAAATTTAAAATCAAGTTGGATGTACATAATCGTTAGTGCACTATTTTTTTTTTCCTTAGGGGAAAAACAAACTGTAATGGCCAGCAATGATCAGAAACAAGAAAGAAGTCACAGACACCGAGTTTGTTGTGGTTTTACTTGAAGAGCTCTTACAGTTTGTAGAGGACAAAAACCCCCATATTCTAAGTTGTAGAGTTGAATTTACTGGTCTGTACCCTCTGAACAGATTAGAAATTAAGTTAGACTTGATTCATCACTAATTCATTAAGATAACTAACTGGGTTGATATAATTTACATACAGTGTACCAACTAAAACTCCACTTTCTGACAAGCATAGGATTTCTTAAATTTGTTAATGTATTATTTGTAATAAAATTATTAACCTATGGAATGTATAACTAAACAGTGGATACCTGCAGAAACAAGTGGTTGCATCAATACTGCAATTGAGTTTAAGTAATTTTTAGACCCTGTTTCTAAGGAGGTTTTAAAGCACAGTTGAGAATTATGGAAAGACCCAATTCTATTTATTATAACAGTGATCAGTACTGAGGCTACAGGAACTGGCCAATTAGGTCCACAGAAAGTAGTTCTTCTACACCCCTAATAATAACAACTGAATTTTAAAACCTTTCAAGTGAAGGAAGTTTATTCCACCTCCATCTCTCCTCTACTGCTGAAACATTACAGCCAGTGGTGGATACATGCATGTTAAAATTTTAGGTGAAAAAAAAACTCTGTATCATGAACTTGACTATTATCGTAAGTCTCTTCGCTGTTTGGAAGCTGTACTGGACCAGGTTAAGCACTCCAATTCCATGGTTATTAACAGTTAGGAAGCAGAAGAATATTCAGAACAGTTTAAAGCAATTGATCTTTTAGTTACTACAACATTGAGTCTTGGGTGGTTGTGTGGGTTCAGTAAGGTCTACTCCTCTTCCTCTGGCAGAGCTGGCTCCTGCATTCTGTGGTTCATTCTTGGGCAATTTTTTTGCTGTAAGGTGAACAGGAAGTAGAGTTAAACCTGAGATTTTACTAAGATTAAATCACCTGAGTAAACACAACAACACATTATAGACATATCAGTATACTCTTTATATATTCTGATTTGATTCAGCGCATTGGGAATGAAAGAAGACACTTCTGAATGATTACCTATTTTATTATTTTCAGGAGTGAAATGCATTGGTAACTCAAGCAATACAATGTATCTGCACAGGTGTGCTATGCCAGTAAATAACAGTTCTTGTGGGAATCCACCCACACAGGAAAGGCTTTAAGATCAGGATGTTAGTGCAAAAAGATACAGAAACATTAAAAAGGCACAAAGCACTGACAGAAATGGGTCAAACCAGATATCCAGCCAGAATAAGTGTTTGCAAACAACATATAAAATGGCCCTCAACACCAGAACAAGCCACGCCTGGTTTTTTTTTTTTCAAGCCACGCCTGGTTTTTTTTTTTTTTCAATCTATCTCTTCAATTCTTAGGAGTCAATTTACTAGTAATTTCTTTGTTGCCATTGTAGCTACAAGGTTCCTCCTCAGTCTTAACACAAAAAATAAGGGTGAAAGCTGCCACCCTTCTGAGCAGTAGCTTCTCCTAGACTTCTCTCCATCAGAAAATTGCTAAGTTCTACACAAAAGGACTTCCATTCCTATCTTACCAGGGCCCAACAACCACCTTTGTTCTATAGTTTGGCTGAAATGTTTCACTCCAAAGTAATTACTTCTGTCAGTTTTTAAAAGAACTTTTTCCAAAATGAACAAAACACAGCCAAAAAAACCTGCAGAGCGCATATCAACATGTTGTGGTACCAGCTAACCTCAGGGTGCTGGGCAAAAGGGTGAGCCACTCTGAGCCATTCTACAGTTCTGTGGTAAAACCCAAGAATCCACACGGTACTAAGCTGCTGAGCCAGTGTAAAGGGTCAATGCACCAGAAGAAAGATGTTTTCAGAGTAATGTTCTGGATTCTAGAACTGTATCTAGAACTGAATTAGCATTGGGTTTTTTTAACTGGAAGTTCTGAATGAGTGCTGAAGCAGTCACTTTACAAGCAGCTGCAGCATGTATCCAACAATTCTTGCAACATTTTCATTTTTCATTTTCTCTCAACTTTAATACCATATTTATACATGGTTCTGAGGATTGCATCCGTATTTCCAGGCCATTCCAAATGACATGCAATACTTATAACCTCATCAGAATTTCCATTCAGAGTCTATTCCCACACAGATCTTGTTCTGATGTACTGACAAAGCTGAATTTCACTCCACTGATGTAAAATTCTGACATGGCCAAAAACATTACAGACAAAACACACAACTGTGTGGGCATTTTTTCCCTAATTGGACATTTTTTTTCCTCAAATTTATGTTGTAGGCTTCATTCAACTATGGAGGCAATAATTATTATTGATATATCCAATTTAAAAAAACCATCAGATTTTTGGGGATTTTTTTTTAAACAGGAAGCAACCTGCACCATTAAACACAATTTTGAAATTTCACCAGAATAGTAAAATTTAGCATTTCTGTATCATTAAATGCAGGTCTATCTTGAACATTTATGAGAAAAATATACTCTACTGTCAGACACAGTGTCTGCATCTATCCCCCTTTTTCAAGTATTTACAGGTAATATGAAGCAAGTACTTGTTATAAAGTGTTGCTATACTGATAATTTAATTTCATCTGCTGGAAGTTTCAAAGACACCACAAATTATCTCCTGCTCTCCTGGCTTGGAAAGCAGAAGATTAAGACCTCTTGAAAAATATTTAACTTTAACATCAATGATGTTTTTTCACAAAAAACGGGTTAGAGAGGTGCAACAGACAAAACAGATTGAATGAGGTTATTTGATGCTATACATTACTACTACCAACTGGCAAAGCATCTATTATAATTAAGGTTACTACTGAATAGATTAGTGGCCAGACTAAAAAATGAATTCTTTTTCCTCCACTTTCAGAAGTTTATTAACAATTATATACAATTCTGGGTACACATGGAACACAGAAGTTTTTGGTTTGTACTTAGTACTACACATTAGCATCTTTACAGAAATCCCTAAGATTATGTTATGTTAAAAATATATGAGTAGTTTTACTTTTCACATGCAGGATCCTTTACTTATAACTTGGACACTGAATTTAAGCACACATTGCCATCTTTGGCACAGCTTTTGGATTTCAGACAGTTGCTTAAATAAAATTAAACAAATGAAAGGGAGTAAGAACACTTCAATACCAAAAATAATTTACATGAAAAACACAGATCTTAGGTTAGGAGGATTGCCATGATCTGAATCACATGAAAACCATTCCCTTTAACGTTCTCATTTTGTTCATAAACTCACCAATTGCCATGAATATTTCATTTACGTTCATAGATGTTTTGGCAGATGTCTCCATGAACAATAAGCTGTTGTCATCTGCATAAGCCTGTGCTTCCTGAAAGTTAAAATAAGAATACATTACTTCATTAAAAAAAAAAAAAAGAAAACTCATACAATCATTAGACACGGTACTTTTAATTGTTACAAAGGAACAATCTCTACAGCATTTTGAAAGAAAGACAGTTTGTGGAAACACTCATCTGACAGTGTTATATACCCAGCTATGGAGAAGTTAAAATTTCACCAATCAGTTCAACGACTAGAAGTGGAATCTTGAAGATCCCTAATAATCTTAAAAATATCCAGGTGAAAAAATCTCAGGCAAAACTAAATAATAAATGAAAATATTTATGAAAGAGACAGCCCCAATGCAGAACATTAGCTCTGAGAGTACGAACAAATAAGTTTCAGAAAGTGCCATCAAATGCCAGCAAGTCCATTATTACCCTGGAAAAAGGCAGTCTATGAACTATTTTGAATCTTTCAACCACTGAGGCAGATGGATCAGAAAAGTTTTATTATCCTGATATAAATTCACAGTTCCAGCAAATAAGTGGCATTCAGTATTTTACCATGTTACCTCCCTTTTCAGTATTAATTTTAATCTGAAACACTGCTCTTAAGAACCTTACTATTTTTGCCACTTCTTATTAGTCAATTCAGCTGAGAATCTCCAGCTTATGCTTATGTAACTGCCTTTGCATTCAGTAAGAAATCTGTGAAAAAACTGAACTACAGAACACCTATGATGATGAGAATAATCTACACTGCTCTATAATTGTGACATCTGCTAAGATCTATGTAATTTATACTTGAAACAACACATTAACGAATACGCATTGCTATCTGTAATGAGAAAGGCCTGTCAAGCCCACAAGGAGTCCATAAATCCACAGTAGCAAACCCCCTAGCATTTAAAAAACATTGAAATTGTAATTGTTCAAGAAATAGTACAGGTAGATCTACTTTGGTAGTTAAATGCGATTATATTATTGACAGCAGTCATGCATGAACTTTTTGTTAAATGTAACAATTTTTCATAAAACACCAAAGCCTCATGTCAACTGTCATGAAAGTATAAAATTTAAAAATTGACAGAAAAACACCTAAACCACTGCTAACCTTGTAATTCAACCCTCCAGAGTCACAAAAGGATTCATTATTATATGCAGCTGTATCTCAGTGACACCAAACAGATTAAAACCTGTAAATTACTGACTAATAAATAGTATCTTAATTCAAATTCAATCAATCATGAATGGACCAAAACTACCTGTAGTTAGTTTAATTCAGCTTAAAGACTATTTTCTGATGACTTGATTAAACTTTCTAGAAGATAAAATACACCAGTGAGAGCACAGATGTAATCACTAAACCAAAAGAAATACCATTAAAAGCTCCATTAAAATTTCAACATTGCTTCAACAGTACAGCCTAAGCAAGTTAGGCACATCAATCAGCTTTGTATCATATGATAATCAAAATTCTCTGGCTGACAAGCCAGATAGAACAGCTTGCACTGAGTTACTGCTATCTCATCCACTGAAACTCTAGTTACTGGTAATTTTGGGTAGAAGACAGAAAGAGGTCACATCAAAGAACAGATACTCAATTAGCCTTAAAGATACGCAAATAAATTAATTATTCCTCAAAGTCAAATTAATTATTCCAAAAAGCCTATTCCTCCATATAACTTGTACAGAAATAGGTTTTTTGGTAGCGTGCATAATTTAATTAGTCTCAGTTGACATTTATATTTAACAACATGACCTCCATAATAACTAGCTAGGCTATGTGCATAAGCTCCCCGTAGGTTTATTTACTATCTATTCAAACAAAATGCAGTATCTATGAACAAAAATAATGTACATACCTGGAAATCCACAGCTCTTTTGTTAGCTAGATCAGCTTTGTTTCCTGCTAAAGCTATTACAATATTAGGACTTGCTTGTCGCTGAAGTTCTTTGACCCAATTTTTCGCTCTGGCAAAGGACTCCTGTTAATGATTATAAATGATGCAACTGAGTTTTATCATCCTTTTTTACTCACCTATTATCCTCATCTCTGTTATCTACACTTCAAGCATGAAACGCCAATGCAAGGCTGCTACCTTAGTCCAAAAGCACACTCCAAATTGCCACCTGAGCTTTTTAAAATGAAACATTCTTGCCTTAGTTTTCAAATGTGCTTAGCTGTGATAATGCTGAAGTAAATAGGTAGGAAGATCTTTGTGTAGACAGAGTAAGGAAAGAAGTGGTTAAGAGAGAAAACAGCAATTTCAGTATCTCTGGAAGATTCATTGAAAAGGCCTCAAAATTACTTTTTTAATTACTGAGGACTGTTCATTATGGTACATGATTGCTGTGGATTTTTTGAAAGTCTTGGGTTGTAAGTCCAATTTTATCAGAAACTAGGGAAGCTTATATCATCCAAGTTCAAACAAAAAGAAATCTAATAACCTTAGGTTATGATCTCAATAGACTGTGCTACCTTTCCAATCCTTAATCAAAATTTGCAAAAATACAATATTAAAATAATGTCTTCACTATCATGGTGCCACCAGCAATGTGATGAGAGTAACAGCTCAAACTCCATTAACTGATTTAAGGGTGGGTTAGAAAACACTTTTACAAGAGGATTTTTCCTCTTCCTTTCCCTCTTTTTAATTAAAAAAAAAAACACCCCAAACCAAACAAAAAACCAAAAAAAAACCCCCCCAAACCAAAAGACAACAACGATAACCCAAAAAAACCAACAAAAAAAAAAAAAACCCAAAAAAAACCAAACAACAAACCAAAAACCCAACTCTAGAAACAGTCTCTTAGCCAGAAAAGTTTAGGGACACAAATTGACATTACACGGTGCAGTATGAAATGAGCGATCTGGTCCAGCAGAAGGCATCCCTGCCCGTGGCAGGAGTGTTGGACTAGACAACCTTTAAAGCCTTCTTCCTATCCAAACCATTCTATGATTCTGCAAAATGATGAATTGATTTACACAAGTCAGTGAGAAAAAAAATAAGTAAAGATCAGTGCAAGACTGGTAACTTCCAAATCCCCCTTGTGCATCCCTAATCCAGTACTTACCTCGTTTGTAATGTCGTATACCACTATAGCTGCTTGTGCTCCTCTGTAGTACATGGGTGCTAAACTGTGGTACCGCTCTTGGCCAGCTGTATCCCAAATTTCAAATTTTACCGTTGTATCATCCAGACATACAGTCTGGGTTAGAAAAGCAGCTACAAAAAATAAACAGAGGTGCTGAAACCAGAAGTTTGCTTGTATCTCTATATTCATATATAGTTATGCTCACAGAGATGCAAAACATTTCAAGCCTACTATTTAAATACAACAAGTTTGATGCAAGCATTAGCTGACAGTCTGTGACTCTGAGGAACATGGAGGAGTTATTTAAACAACTGGACATTCCTCAAGTTAGAGATAAGAAAGCAAAAATTGTAAAGAATTTCCATTTTCATTATAGTGAATCTGAGTAACCATAAGCCTTCTCTTAAAGCTTTTAGATACAGTCTGTTGAAGAAGGATGTATACTAGAGTACCAGTAGCAGCACCCCATCATGCTACAATACAACAGTTCAGATATTTTAATTCTACACATTTATATTACTTGAATATCATCTTCAAACTTTGATTTTCAGCTCCTAACAACTTCACCTTAGCTAACAGGTCTGAAGAAAGAAGCACTTCTTGTAAGTTCTTGTTGTCAAAGCAACTATATTTTTGACTTTGCAAGTGATCTCAACAATTAACTTCAGCACAATTTCAACAGCCTGCCGTTTCAGGGAAACTTGCAGCCATTTATACTACAGCTGAACACATTACCATAAATAATGGTTTTCCAGTTACAAAAAATACTAACTTATTCCAAGTCCTCAAACAGTTACTACTAGTAAAAGTTTTCCATTCAGATTAAGGAATAATCAGAAGTATGGAGGTGAGTGCCCACACAGTATAGAAACCAGTGTTAAAAACTAAACTAAGGAACTCTCATACTTAGCTGAAGCAGGAACTCTGATCACTAGGCACACTGACAGACTGTGGCCAATTTAAATCAAATGACTGAAGAGACACCGGCCTCTAACGCTTGCATATCTGGGATTTCATCCTGTCCTCCACACTCTGTGACATCATAGTGTATGAATCATTCCAAAACTGCTCCAACCTTCAACTCAACTCATAACAGAAACCAAAATGAAGCCAATCTTGCTCTGTAAAGGACACTGTAACTAGCATACAGAAGTGTCCCTGTCTCAGCTGTAAGCAGCAGCTGCATGGTACTTAGCTGCTGGCTGGGGTTAAACTGTGACCAGAAGCTGACTCCTTAAGTGGTCAGGTGCTCCTCCTTCAGGGGTATTAGCATCCATCACAGATGAGCAGGCAGGCTGGAGAAGGTAAAAGCTTTGATGTTCCAATGTTAAATCAACATAAATCTCTCTAAATTCTACATATCCGAACACTGGTAGAACAGGCTCCACTTGGCAGCTCCCTAAGCAGCACAGAACCAAAACTGAGTGGAAAAACACCATACATCCTGCACTAAACTAAGGGCTTCCTCCCCTCAATATTGTACCAGCTCAATATTGTATTTCTCCAAGGCAGAGACAAGACGATTTTCAAGTTCTCACAGACATTATTCTCTTAACATAAAAATGTACCTACACTGTATAAATGAAGGTAGGTACTTTGAAAGAGAATTAAACAAGAAGTTTATTCTTTTCAATCCTCTTGTTTTTGTCAAAAATAACATTTCAACCACTTTAAAATGCTAGTTAATTTCTGCAAAAAAGGCTAACTTTCTTCGACCTTGCCAAGGCCGTAGTAAATTGACAATTAATCATCTGTTAATTATCTGAAAGTCTATCATCTTTAACAGCCATATTTTTGTCTTAAGCAACTAACAGGCCTGGCCACAGTCTGAAGTGGCAAAACCACACCACCACCATGTCTGCCTTTAACTGCACTCCCTTTCAGATGTTTTTATCCAGATTCACAATGCACATAAGCCTCTCTTTGTTAGAAGGCCCTTCTGTATACAAAGAAAATTATGCCTTAGGCAACTACAAGCCACAGAGTTAGACAGCTTTCTCTATAGAAAACTTTTCTGAATCCTAACATTGCTGCATGTAATAGCTCTCAGCTGTATTATATAGAATTTCCTTGTTTCTACTTGATAGAGAAGAGGCACAAGTTAATACAGATTACACTAAAGCTTACACATCTGAACTTGAACTTAGGCTCTTGTATAACCTTTGATTAGATTTTGAACAGTGTAACAGGGTTTCGGTTACTCCAAACACTAAAACAAGAAAAAACTAAACAGAGGTTAAATGAATTTTACTTAAATTTAACTGGTTTTAAACTAAAAACCTTGTCGTTATTGGAATGTTAATTCACAACACATCTTTGAGAATGCTCTCTGTATTACCACACAGCTGTTTATCAGAACATACAGAAACGTTCATACTAACACCTATCCTCAAGCCATGATAAAAGGCACAAAGCCAAAAGTGTGCATTAGTAAGACTGCTAAAGTAGAAAATATTTGGTTGTCTATTTATGCTGACAGATAGAAAAAATAAATACATTTAACAGCTAGATATAGGGCAAAAGAATAATGCAATAAAATTCAGCTTGTGTCTATTTTTGTAAGCTTTCCAGTGTTTTTACATTTCAAGAACTGTTGGTGTGTGAAGACATACAGACCACTGAAAGGCCTTCACATAAATATTACAATGGAACCGGCTGACTCATGCAAGCTGCAACAGCAACTACTGGAGAGTATTTATCAATTCACAAAATTTATACCTTGTAAAGTCTGTATGCTGTTAGGTAGTTTTAGGAAACGTTTAAATTTATCCAAGGAGGAATACAGCTCAAAGCACAAACACAAACTACAATATAATTTAAGAAATCTGTCAAGGGGAAAAGTGTGATAAAATCTGTTTAAAATTAAACAGATTTTTTAAAATTCTGGTAGACAGCACCTGTTTTGTTTGAAATCACAAAATGGAAAAACAGCACAATAAATTCTGTGATTAACACAAAAATATTTCCAGAAACATGGCAAGTTCTCCAAAATCAAAGTCAGAATGCATAAGAGACAAACACAAGCCTTATGGAAGATGCAATGCTAGGGTTTTTTTCACAGAAACTAGCTTCTACTTTCATAGAAGCTTGTAATTCTTACTAAGCAGTTATTTAATGCATTAAGCATGCAGCACAATTAAAAGAGCCACACACCCACTTACAAACAAAATGTAACATTTAGCGCAGGTTTCAAAACTATGCAGTTCAAGAACACATTTAATACCTCCACTTGAAAAGGATGCTTATGTTTAACTCAGGAAGTTATAGTTCTCAATTACTGACACAGGGCTCAGATTTGATCCCTGCTGTCAATGACCCACTCTAGAAGTGCCGTTACATTAAAGGTTTTCAAGGGCAAGGACAATATAAACACATAACACGTAAAAAACTAACAGGGTAATTTTCTCACCTCCAATCGTACTTTCTTGAAATTCATGAAACTGTCCTTTTACAAAACGAAGCACCAAACTTGATTTGCCAACTGCAGACTCTCCTAAAAGTACTAGTTTGAATTGGCAAATTTTATTTCCAGCATTTGGCCCGTTGGGCCTTGTTGCTCCTCGATTAGCCATGTCCAAATTAGAAAGCAGTCCTTTGTTTCAACAGCTTTTGAAACCAAGTTCCACTGAGATCTGAATCCTGGTTCTTCTGCCAGTAACAACCTAGTTTGTGAAAAGACAGTGGGTGCATTAGATTTACAAACCAAGTAAGAAAAGTCTCATTCACTAATGCAATATATTTTATATAACTTCACCTAGTATTTACCGAAGTCAACAGTCCAGACTACAGGTACCATCACTGATAAGTTGTCAGCTATAGCTAGAATTTACGATACATGAACAAGTTATCTTCTTCAACACCTAGTCTTCCCATCAAAGTTTCAAATTAGCACATTAAAGTCCAGTTATGCTGCTTCTTGCAAGACCTCAGTCTCCAGTTATTTCTTAACAAATCAAGATTGATTTATAACACAATAGATTCAGATTTCAAATTTTCAGTAAAATAACAAATGACAAGCAAGAATAACTTTTCATAATTATGCTATTGCTAACCAATATTCCAAAGTCTTGAGCACTGTTCAAGGATGCTAAAAAACTGAGCAATTTGGGAAAACTCAAATACCAAAGTACCTTCTTTGCAAGTGTAGTTCATCAATTCACTTCTATCCCACCTATCAAACACATTTCCTTACAGAAAAGTATAGATCTTCACACAGAAACCACTAATACCCTCTCTAATTAACAACTGTACTGAGAAGCAAAAGTGAAGCCTTCCATATGAAAACCAAATGACCATAAGAATTCCAGACCACTTTGCACAAATCACCAGAGAACTACTATGATAAATTTCTATTTCCAATACTTAGACATGTCCTAGACCAATATTAACAACACAGATTTTGGTAAGAACAAGTATGAACAGTGTATTGTTTAGTCTGCTTACTCTTCTTTCCAGCTGCTTAAAAACACCCCATCCACTGTACTTACTCATACAGAAAGAGAAGCCTTTAGACTCTGCTGGTACCACTTGTGACCCTAATATTTATGCTTTTACACACTTAACAGCAGATACAAAACAAAAGACCTCTCAAAATTAGTTCATAATTTTGTCCTACTCCAGCTGATCATTTATTTGAATTAAGCAGACCTTGCAGGGATACACCTTTTCTCACATCTAGGATGTGAGTTAGGTTAGAGTACATGCTCCTGGTGCAAAAAATGGCTTTAATTCGTATATTGCAAAAAAATAAGCAAACATAAAAGTTTCAAATGACTCCCTGTTCTTTATTCTTTGTGATGAAGCAACTATATTTTAAACCAAGCAGTAGCCTTTAGCCATCTTCCTATTTCAAACCCCTCAGCACATAGATTAGGCACTTAAGCATTCCTGTTTACTACAGGCCTAGCTCAGATGCTAAGCCCACCCTCTCCTTCCTAACTCTCCCCTTCCCTCAACCCAAGTCTTGAAGACCCTTCTTTCCTGGAAAGTGCTTCAGCAGCCTAGCAGAACCTTACCCTTCAGTAAGATACTCCTTTGCAAACTAATATTCATGGAGTAAATGAGAACAAAAATTTTAGCATTATTTACTGAAAAATGTAACAGCTGAAAAACAGATACTTCATTTCTCATTGTAAGCAGAATATAGGTCTTAAAAATATTTACAGCATCTTAGAGGCACTTTTATTTGCTCATGTTCCTCCTTTTCTCATATCTCTCAAAATAATTTACCTTCTTTAAGGGAGGTTACAATTTTGCATTCTGTCCTGAGTTTGTGTCCCATTTGACTATTACATCACACTTAAAAATATGTATTTTTAAAATTTCAATTGTACAACAATCTATCAAGTAGTAACTTTTAGCTATATATTCTTAGAAACACATGAAAGTATTCCACAGTGAAAGGATGAAGCAAAAAAGCCCCTGCAAATCCTACCATCGTTGTTATTAACTACCACATTAATTCTATACTACAGTTCTTATTCATTAAACTAATTTTGGGGAAGTATTTCAGAATACAGGAATGGATCCAGTTATTTTAAAAATACCAGACCTCTCATCCTTACACCATAAAACAACAATTTTGCCCTACTAGTGTGTTGGTTCTCAGGCAAGACTCTTCTCCCCTCCATGATGTGGAAATATGCTTCAGAAGTTGTGGAGTGATTTGGATAAAAATGGATCAGTGACAACAGTTAATCTCTCCCTAATTGTACAACAACAGAGACTGCAGCAAGGCATAACCAAAATATAGGTGGTTCAGAATACTGTTATGCATTTATTTATCTTTCCCTCTGGAAAAGTAATGAAGACTTTAAAATGAAAAAAATCCCACCGTTTGCTGTAGCATTCTAGTGTGTTTGGACAACCATGAAATAATTAAAACCCCTGTTTTTTAATATGCTCCATGTTTTTCCAGACTCTGCAGCATTCAAAGAAACATAAGGATAACATCCAATGAATGTGTGACTTAGTACTCCTGGGAGCAAGTGACTTCTGATGACACATAGTGAGGAAATCAAGCCACTGCACAGGTTACTCCCTATGACTGCTTTTTTGCGTGCTGTTTCCCATACTGACAGCAAAAGGAGGTATGAGAAAAAAAATTTGCATAATATTTATCAATTTCACCTGAGCATTTACAGCTGGCTGTTATTTCAGATTTTTATCACTCTCAAAACGGTAATTATACCCTTTGCAAAACTACTTCAGAACACAAAGCTGACATAGGTTGTGAATAAAAATATCTAGTTCAATTTTTATAGATGCCCAAGCTACAGATGTTTACATTCTTACAGCATCCCTCCCCTGAAATCATTCTAGACAGTCAGATACCACGTGCAAAAATAACCAGCTCTCAAGCTGATAGCAGACCACAGTACCTGATAGGAAGGCCATCTAAGAAACATACTGTAAACCTCATTCATTCAACAGTCACTTCAATACATCTAATAAATTAATAATGAAACCTACTAGTCATACCACCCACTTTTCAACAGCTCAGGATAAAAGAAAATGAAAGACTGAAAACTTGATGGAACACATTTAGATGATTGTGACATATTAATAAAAGTCACTAACACCTTCTATAAGTGTATACAGAAATCATCATCTTTTGAAGTTTCAGATGATGCCAAACCTCTGTAGTTGAATTTCACAACATGGCAGCATACACAAAAAGCAAGGGAAGTACCTGCTTAATCTGAAGAGAAGCAGTACTGCAGTTTGACACAGCCACTGCAGAATGGTTTTAGGCTGTTCTTTGCACATCTCTGAGCTGAGCACACAGTGCCTCAGAAAGATTCAGAAGAAAATTTCAATGCTACAGTCCCCCATGCACACTCCAAGTCTCAGGTCACATTAGTTCTACTACTTCTTAATTCATCAGTAAAATACAAACCTGGAGAACCTGGGAGGAACAGTACATTCAGTACCCTCCCTATACACTACAAACTCAGCTCTGGTGAAAACTTCCTGGGAAAAAATCCACTGATATGGGTCCCCTTCTTCTCCCCTTCCAATTTTGTATGCAATGTAATCAATATGTTTGGACTATGCAAGGGAAGAAAACCTGGGCAAGACATTTTCATTCACCTACACATAGGCAAGTACACAACTTTTTGGCTTGAAACAGCTCTTAAACGGATACATATGGGAGTTATGGAAGTAATCTACTAATATAAAAATCTGCTAAAGAAAATACTTTATGTGGGAAATGGATTTGCAGAGATTTCTTAGGGTTTGACAGAAGGGTTTTCTTTGGAGAAACAGAACTATGAAAGATGCACTGTATTGGGATGCACGAGGGGTAGTTTTAGATGATTGGCTTTAAGGCACCTACAGCATGGCGTGACAAAAAGCTGATAGGCCAAGAAACACTTATGGTCTATTATAATTATGAAATAGTCGGCTTCTGATTGTGATGGTGTGAATTATAATATCTGTATTGCCTCACCCTTCTCATGAGACTGAAAATGGAATAAAGGTTTTTAAAATGCCTCTCAGTTGCCCCAACTCTGGGTCAGGAAAAGGGTATTGTCCAACAAATATAAAATTTTTTGAGATAGATGGCTTCAGATGGATGCAAATGAGGGAGATTTTCTTGCTTTTATAGAATTTAACATAAAAACTCCATTTTGCAGTCTTGGGCGGTACAAATACATAGGTCACTATGCTAAGTAGGAACTTTCACTCTTCTGAATATCCCCCCATGACTGAGCAGATCCATGCTGAAATGCCGGAACACAAAGCCTGGAGTATATTATTAGCTAAGTACTCCTCATAATCCCACCAACTAATTTACTGTATGGTACATATTCTCCTCACTCCAGAAGAGAAATTTGTATGCTGTTGGACAGTCTGAGTTTTATTTATGAAAGAGTACTAAGTATTTTAACAGATCAAACACAAATCTTATTATGCTTGAGCCTCTGTACAAAATACGAATAGCTCCAGCCAATACCCACAAACCCTCAATTTAATGGCATAATTCAGTCATGCAAGCATAAGCACTGGACTATTTTCAACTACAAGACGGCTAATATAGAAGTATCAAAGTAACACTGGTGACAAAAGCCAGCCAGAAGAGATTAAGACAGTGAGTACTGTTCCTAAAACTAATGTGATTAAGCATATTATCAAATAGAAAGGCCACACAAAAAAATTCACGATAAATTTAAAACTGAAACATTCCACCACTTTTATATGCCATAGCAAACAACACTGTTTCTTACTACTAAACTTTTGTACACTGCATTAACGGACATAAAGCATACAATGCTGAGGCTGCAACTATTATCTACTTTAAATTTTTTCATACTGGACTTTCTTGAATGTTTTACAAGTCAGTAAGTAAAAAGCCTTATGTATTAGCCACTCCTACTAACTGAATTTTTCTTCTAGGTTCAGCAGAATTAGTGTGATACCTTACTGTAGTGTTCAAGACAGTGTCAGGGACAACCAGCAAAATGCTTGCAATATGTAAGCCAGTTTATATAGAAACATAATGAGACTGTAAGTTAAACAAGTGCATCAAAACAGTTGCTGCAAAAAAATCACAGCCCTACAATTAAAGGTAATAGCCATCTCAAAAGCTCATCTGAATGATGAATGGTGCCAATTGCTTTCAGATAAACTGGTTTATCATACAGGAAATGTAAGTGATGACTACAATACCATTGTCTCTAATTACCTCACTTCAGCCAACATCTACCTCTTCCTGACATTTCTCATATTGTTCTTATGGAAGAACAATACCTACAAGCAATCTGTAGGTAAGCATGACTGTAATTCTGAACAGACACTATAAAACTGGAAAAAATAAAAAATACTATGATTTTTACTTTGCCTGAATGTTATATGAAAGAAATGGATTAATTTCAGCTGCTTAATTTGCTGTTTAGCCTCTCATTACCATCCTCAAGCTCCTAAAGAGGTATAAGGTAGAAAAAAAATCATTACAAATGCCGAGAGAACAGCCTTTCATGGCCCTGTTTGGAACATTTTGATACTTCTCATGCAATTCAGCTCTTCTCTAAAGCACAAAAAGCTTAGGTTTGCTCCTCCACCCTACCCCAGCTTTGTCTAGTTCCAACTGCGTGCGATGCAGAAGATATCGAGCATACTAGGCCTGTTGCGATCCCCCCGATGGCGACGCATTTTCGGGAGCATTTTACTTCCCACCTAGTTCACCGTCCTTCTTCCAGACGCAAGCGAAAGGGAAAGCGAGAGACCCACCACCCAACCTCCCATTCCATATCTCACAAGCAACTCGAGGGGCACAGCCCTGAGGGCCGGCCCCAGACAGCGATACCTCTCCGCAGGAGCGCCCGCACGCAGGGGAGGATCCCCGCTCTCCCGAGCCCAGCCCCTCCAACCCCCGCCGCCACCTCCCCTCCCCCGCGGCTCCCTTCCAGGCGCAGGAATAAGGGGAAGTGGGAAAACCGGGGGCGCCATTTTGAGCCGGGAAGGGAGAGAGCAGCGTCCCCGCTCCGCACGCCGCGCTGCCCACCTCGGCCACCCGTACCGCGGCACGGCGCTCCCGCAGCGCCGGGGGAGCGGCTGCCGCCAGGAGCCCGGACGAGGCGCGTCTCGCCGCCGCCGCAGCCCCCCCGCGTCGCCTCCGCCTCCTCACCTGGCCGCGCTGGGGGAGCCGGGGCGGCGGCGCAGCGGCGTCCGTCCGTCGGGCGCGTCGGTCGGGGCCGGCGGGCGCGCCGGGGCAGGGTGGGCGGAGGAGGGGTAAGAGGGGAGGCGGCTCCTCGGTGGGGGCGAGGGGCGGGGGCGCAGCCGTGCCTCACCCAGCCCCGCCGCCGACTTCCGCCGCCGCCTCTGCCCCGACCAAAACACGCTCACACACACACAACACGCACTTCCGCCGCCGCCACGTCACGCCCGCACGCGCCGTGCCCTTCCGGTGCGCCCGCGCCAGGCGTCACGTGGCTCCCTTTCCTTGCCACCTTTCCCTCCTCGCTTTGTTCCCGCTCCCGGCGAGCCGCACTCGGCTGCAGGGTGTTCCCCGGACTCCCGCTTCTCCCCAGCGCTGCGGGAAGAGTCCCTGGGAGCGACCCGCGCCTCCTCCATCTTCCACTTACGGTGGGGGTGGTGAGCCACTGGAACGGGTTGCTCAGACAAATTCAGGACGCCTCATCTCTTGACAGTTTCCAAGGCCAGGCTGGGTGGGGCTCTGAGCAACCTGCTGGAGTAGGAAGTGGTCCTGCTCAAGGCAGGGGAGTTGGGACTGGATGATCTTTAAGGTCCCTCCCACCCCGAACTATTCCGTGGGTTTCTGCCGATGCTTTAGGGACTGCGCTGCAGCCTGAGGAGGCCACTGAGGAGCGCGGGATGGGAGCTGGGTATCACGCACACAGACAAGTCCTGGTTTAATCCTTTCAAAGAACCAGTTTCCAAAGCTATTAGTCAAATGAGTTGAAAGGAGGAGCTACATAGGAAAACCTGAATTGCCATCGGGAATTTACCTTTTTTGAGCAGTCACTGATAAAGCCCAGAACAAGTCTTGATTGCTTCATAGCACAAAGCTTGACCTTGTGAGAAAGCAGCATAAAGGCCAGTTGGCCACAAGCTGTAAGTGGGTTGTAGTGGGAACAACAATCACGATAAGTATTTCTTCAGTATAGCAGCTTTAACAAGGTCTAAGAGTTGGCATTTTAAAGAAACAAACAAACAAACTGGTAAGACATTTAGTAAGTGTATCAATAATGGTATTTGGTAATTGGTACAATTTAATGAAGATTTTTGAGATACTCCATCACAGGAAATAATCAAGTTGTTGCATTCTCAAAATATATTTTTTATTTCAACCACATATATTTAAATGAAGCAAAAATCAAGTTGGGTAAAGCCTGTGGTTTGTGTTATGCTGCTTTCCCCTTCCTTAGTATCACATATAAATACTTGAACATACTGAAGTGAATGGAATGAAAACAGATTTTTTTTTTAGTCTTCATCAGTTCTTCTTTTCCATACACTTTTCCATTGGTACCAGTTTGGTCTCAGAGTAACAATTTCCCCTTTCTCCTTTATTAAGCCATTTACATAAGTGCTTTGTGAAAGGCCAATATGTAACTTCAAGAAAAGTAAAATAGTCTTTGCATTCACCAGTGGTGTAGAATGCCAGACTAGCTCCAGAGAAACATGTTTGTTTAAGTAAAGTATACAAACTTTTTTGAGCTGTGAGTTTCCTAAATGTTTGTAAGAGTTGTCCTTTAAATCATGTAATCCTGCCCTAATACACTGTTATTTGCCATAACCTTCTGGTCTCAATATGTTCAACTGGATTGCAGGATTTGCTGAGCAAACAGCAGATTCCTGATAACCAAATGTGTTTTACTACACACCTGACATGCATGCATCGGAGCACCAAGCAGCAGCCAGTCAACCTGGCAGCTACTCACTCACTCACTCACTCACTCACTCACTCAGCTCCCTGCAGTAAGACAGAGAACATACAGAAAGAACAAAAGCAGGAAAACTTGTGGGTTAAAATAAAGACAGTGTAATAGATGAAGGAAAGTGGAAGTTAAAAGGCAGGGAAATCGCTGGCTACCTCCTATAAGCAGGATGGTGTCAGCCCATCTCCAAGCAGCAGCCACCTTGGAAGACAATCTCCTTTGTCTCCCTCCATTTTCTATTGCTGATTGTAATGCTGTGTGAGATGGAATATCCCTTTGATCAATTTGGGTCGGCTGCTGTATTCCACTCCCACATTTCTGGACTATCAGCAGCATTTCTTCCTGTGGCTGATGACAAAGTGGGGAAAAAGAGAAAGTCCTCACTCTGTGCAAGCGCTGTTCAGCAGTAGTTGAGGTATTGCTGTGTTATCAACAGTAGTTTAGTCACATAATCCACAACACAGATGTTTAAGGAAAGCTCTGAAATCACACAGATAGCCCCTACTTGTGGTCATGTTTTCATATTTTATTTCATCATGGTTCATATATCACATTCCAAAAGCGAAACTGCTGGGTGATATTAACAAATTTATGTTGGTCATGTTTTCACCAGGTGGCTTTCCATCTATTTTAGCATTTCTCTGCAGTTTTATTATTATGTTCTGCTCAGCCTTTTTGCATTTAAGTGGAAGTTGACATTAGAAAATGTGCAGAGAATGTGCAGAATCTCTTTATTGTGTTTGAACTCCCTCCTCCCCCCCCCTTATTTTTTTTCTATAACATTATTTTTTTCAGTCTCCTATCTCTACTTGTGTACATTTTCTCTGTACCTACATTGGCTTGGGTATTACATACAGAAAGTGTGCAGCACATAGAAAACAGTAATTTCCTATCTGTAAATGTATTGAATAAGAAACTATGAAAGCAACCAGGCAGTAACAGTGAAGTGCATTGACATGGCTGATGTAATTCAGATGTTTCACAACATTTGGAGTGTTTTACATAAAATCCTCTGGCCTTCAGAGACCTTCAGGAACCTATAAACTTAGTGTTTTGACTCTGGTCTAGGCCAGCACCATAGTCAGAGTGAGAGCTGTGTTGCAGAACATGGGGTGCTTGTGCTTCATAAAGAAAGTAAAATGCAGGGGTTTAGACAGTTTCCATTCCTCTGTTTTAGCCTAAACAACACAGAAAAATGCATTAGCTTGTGGGAATTGGATGACAGAAACTTGTGAAATGTCAAGTACTGTTGAGGAAAAGAAGTGCTGCTGTGGAATGGAAAATTTTGTTCAACTTTTTCCAAACAGCTTTCTCTAGAGATCCTACTTTTGACATAGGAGATGAAAAATTCATGCTTAAGTAAAGAAAGTTTTAATCTTTTTTTTTTTTCCCATAAAATTGAGTTCAATTGGTTTTTGTTAATGCTTCATCTTATCTTTAAAATTACAAGTCCTTCCCACTCCACAAATATTTTCTGTGGCCGAAATAACTTTCAGTATAAGAAAGAATGGATATGACACTGATATCAGAATGAGAGGAATTATAGGAAAGAATGTATATTGTCAGTAGGTTTCAAAGTGATTCATAGGGACCCACGTTTCTGCAAAAAAGGAAAGAAGCATAGAGGCAAAAAAAAAAAAAGGCTGAGGATTTCTGCTCTACTTGTTTCTGCAACAGGCACTCTTTTTACATATCCAAGTCCTATTTTTATGCCTTTAACACAACCCACTCCATTGGGGCTGAGTGGATGATTTCAATTAGCAAGTGTGGCCACCTGCTGGGGAAAAAAACAAGGTAAAAATAAATCAGCAATGCACAGAATGTATAGAAATGGTACCACCTTGAGCACAGGTAGAGAGCCATCTAGAAATACAACAAACACAAAAATTCCATTTCCTGAATTTTATTCTGGGATTAAAAAGTCCCAGTTTCCTGTACCCTATAATTACCATCTAATTTTTACACTACTGTACTTTGCTCTCCCTCTCTATAGATCTCCCTTCTGACAACTTTATTAGATAGAAGTTTAACCTTACAGATTAATGCAGATTAATGGATCACAAGGCAAGACATAACCAATAATTTTATTTATTAAACTACCAAAAATGATTGTTTTATTTTGCAGAAATGCTCTAAACTTCAGGCAACAACAAATATAATTGAAATATGAAAAGAACTGAACACACTAAGACTTTATGAGAGCTTCTTTAGTTTCCAAGTGGACATGGATATTCCATACTAGGTATGTGATGCAGCCACGTCTACAGCAGAAAAACACATAACTTCTTTTGAAAAAGGGCATCTGCATTGCCACAGCTAGATCACAGTTGATGTTATACATGATGCTTCTTGCCTGGAGAAGACCAAGATACATTTATATGTGCTGGAAGTTCATGGATCATGGCACTGACAAGTACTGTTGGTGACTTGGACAGCCAGAGCACATCATTGGACAGCTGTGGCTGTCTGAGCCTCTCACTTTCCATTTGTAGAAAAGGAATTTAGTTTTAATGAAGTCCTTGCCAAATGAATGTTAGAGCAGAGAATAAAATGATGACACATGGTAATGTTTGATCAATTACGATTAAGGTCTGTATATTTATCTAAAATTGGTTTTGCCATCGAAGGACTATGGAGAATGGAGCAGGATGTGATTAAATTGCGATATTTTGCTGGGAAGAACGGGATAGTTTGCTAAATGTCATCTGCAAATAAAAGTCTTTGTAACAACTGAGGGTCTGTTAAACGTCAATTAAACTTGTACAGTCTTACCCACACTGCTTTTCTGAAATAATCCACATCTGTTTCTAAAAGGCAAATACAGTGGGTTAGATATATGAGGTGTTGACTCATTTAAGACAAACAGTGACAGCACTCACGTGTCTGATACATGGGGTAGTGCTGATGGGCTTCTCTCACCCACCTCCAAGCTATGTGTGGGTGGGAGCTGCAGTTTTCTCTAGAGGAATAGCCCCAGTATTTTAATAGCATGTGACAACATTTGTGAAAGGAGCAGTATCTTTTATTACAGTAATAAAGATTCAAAGTTTGATCAAACTTTTGACCATGTAAGATCTCATTTCAACCTCAAGATTCAACCCACCTGTCTCAAAGCTAGTAGATTTTCAAAGATTTAACAATAGGTCTGTTATATGTGTATATGATAATTTGTGCAAATAAAAATGTCATATATTTTATAGTTATGTACTGTTAAGATATACTCTTATAAGAAGTTTTTAAAAACACACAAGCCAGCGACGGGGATTGCAACACAATGTTGAAACCACATGGACGAAGGAGGGAGGACTCCATTCACAAGCAATTGAACATGGTCAGCCCGGAGATGGATCACC